GCGACCCACAGGTTGAGAACCGCTGGCTTAGTGTCTTGTGTTTCAAGTGAAAATTGTAATTAAAAAGCATGTTCTCTCCTCCACTAGTACTTTACCATAGGGATCTTATCTATCTTGAGTTTTAGAAGAACAATTAAAAGCGATAATGTTTCTGTTTCAGTGAACTGCTCACCTCTTTGGTATATCAAATATGTACTTAACCTCACTAAGGTTTTTATTGATTTTTTAGAGAGAGTGGGATGGAGAGGGAGAGACAGAGAGACAGACACTTCAATGTAAGAGAGACACATATGAGAAAGACACGTCTACTGGTTGCCTCCCACAAGTGCCCCTACGGGGGCTCGGGATCGAGCCTGCAACCAAGGCATGTGCCCTTGACTCGAATTGAACTCCAGACCCTTCAGTCTGTGGGCCAACACTCTGTCCACTGAGCCAAACTGGCTAGGGCAACTGGCATACTTTAAAATCTTGAGCATACTATTTATTTTAAATAACTGCTGTGACTTCTCCAAATCTTGAATTTAAGTGAAATATTGGCTGCCCATAATATGGTCTGTTCATTTTCCAACCACATTGTATTATTTCATGATAGACTAAGTTAACATTCTCAAACTTGAGTATTTTCTCTGGTAGCTATTTTAAAGGAAGTCTAAGTGGCATATGAGAAAAGAGTCTAAGACTTGATTGGCTATTTTACCCCCTTGTAATGTATGATTCCTTAGTTCTGATTCCTCAAGATTCTTTTTAAGGAATTATATCGTTGATAATAATACCTTGAACTCTTAATAATTATGGTTATTTCCCAGCCTGTGTTTAAGCCTTGACCCATGAACCAGGTAGTCATGGTTCAATTCCAGGTTTGGGCACATGCCTGGGTTGGGGGCTTGAACCTTAGTAGCAGGTGTGCAGGAGGCAGCGGATCAATGATTCTCTTTCAACATTGATGTTTCTATCCCTCCTTCTCCCTCCCTTCCTCTCTCTGAAATCAATAAAATAAAATAATTATGGTTATTAAATTTTCATGTCTTTGTATTGCCTCTTTAATTTGATTTAAAAGCTACTTAGGTTCATGCACTGTACTTTAGACCTCGTTTTATTCTATACTTCTCATTTCCATCAGGCTCCAACTTAGAACATTAAAAACAGTAGCTAGTCAGCCTACAGCGTACTTATAAAATAAAAGGGGAAAAAAGCTATAGATTATTACTTGTTATATAAAAAATTCAAAATATTTATTCATTCTGATATTTTCTGATGACTTTTTACTATTGAGTTAAAATCTAAGATATATGTTGATTTGTGTGCAGAACCTTATATTTGGAATAGTTCTCAATACAATAGGATCATTGTCATTGAAAAATTCTCTCTTCTCATTTTTCCTTTCTTCTATGTTTTATTGCTGTGTTATATTCAGGAACTCCCGAAAGCCTAGCTGAGAAGGAGAGGCAGCTTATGGGTATGATCAATCAGCTGACCAGTCTGCGAGAGCAGTTGTTGGCTGCCCATGACGAGCAGAAGAAACTGGCTGCATCTCAGATTGAGAAACAACGCCAGCAAATGGAGCTGGCCAAGCAGCAGCAAGAACAGGTGAGTAAGAAGTAGAGACACAGTTCCCTCAGGCTTTGTTTTGCCTGCTATTTATGTCATTCTCCTAGGCACACAAAGATCATTTAAAGCCTCTCTCCCCTTTTGCCCACATAAATAAGTAAAAAGGCAAATGACGAAGCAAACTCTGATCTGAAGAAAGTTATCCACTACATACTTTAGTGGTGAGTAGCATGGAAGTAATTATAATCAAGGTGCTGATAGGCCATGAGAGAAGTACCAAAAACCATGGAGAGTCAAGAGAACATTTCCAGTCAGGAACATGAAAGATTTCATTAAACGGGTGTTTGTTCTGGAACTTTGAAGAATAGGTAGGATTCACCAAGTAAAGTAAATTTTCAGTTATGGGGCAGGAATTTTAGATAATAAGAAAGAGCGAGAATCTGAAGTAGATAGGGTGTTGACCATGGATAAAAAGAAGAAAGCAATAAACAGGTGGAAGAGTTACGGTTAGTTGAATTTTTTGAGTGGGCATAAGGCAGAAGAAAAGTGTTGAGCTTGAATAATAGGGAAAGTCAGGGAGAGGGCTACTTTGGAACAACAACTGGCTATATGATGTTGAATTAGAGCTGTTGTCAGGTTGTCCCTCTAGAGCAGCAG